CGCAGAATCATGCTCTCAAGAACTTTACCTATATCCGGAATTCCATTGTCGCGTGGAAATCCTTTCGAGTTGTTCCATGCCGATGAAAAATTGGTGACGATTACTATTTTTGTGAACACCACCGTAAGTATCAAGCCTGGCATTCCTCTATGCCAAGTTCTTACTGTGGTTCAAGACAAAGATCCATAACTGTTCAATCATCGTTGAAAATAAGGGAGTCCTGAGGCAAAAGCCTCTGCATTGTCTACACTGGTGATCCTCCCCAATCTCGGAATCCCTATCTCTTGAGTGTATTGAGGTTAAGACAGGTCTTCATCTACTACTTTATGTAAATCCACGAGAATCCAAGTCATGTAAAAACTTGGAATAATCATTAGTGAAACTCAAGTTGAATGGGTTTCCGGTAAAAGCTGCTGTGTCTCTCAAATCAGGAATTTTCCAACTCTGAGCCAAAGTATACTGCTATGTTCTCGCGTAAGTACACTGACTCTTCGCATTCGGGCGCTTATCAATTTTGGGTAGTAGCACAGTTATCCCATCACGGGCCTGTACTTGACATTTCCTCGGACCATATGATCCTATTAAGTCCAGAGTTCATTTACGTAATCCACGCAGTCTGGTGGTATCGTTTGTGAGGTATGTGTTCTGCGAACACGTCTCTAAAATCGCTCAAATTGAGCAGAACTTTCGCATATCTTAATCCGTTTTCCGGCTTGTCTAAGCTTCACGTAGAATGCCAGTAAAGACAGCCCGCACTTTGGCGTTCAATCGGCCTCTGGCGTAGCGCACTGTAGCTGGGTTTCCCTGGGCTACAGCGTCCGGGCCGTCCGTGGCTGACGGTGTTGCCCCGCTCTTGAGTTGGACTGTGGCTGAAGAGAAGCATTTGCTCAGATCAGTCTGTCAAAGACAAATTTGAACATCTTCCAACGGGATGTAGGCTGAAGTACTGTTGGAGACATCGACGGAACGAACAGATGGAGGTGCATCTGCTTCGACTGCGAAGCTGCTTTGACCGACTGCGGCTCGGCGTCGGATGAAATGTCTTTTCGTCAAGATGTCCGGTCTGTCGGCAACTGTAAGCCCCACTAGTCGGCCGTTTTCCGAGCTAGATGGCACCATCTTTAGAATTCAGCGAGAATAGGCAATGCGATTGACCTCTCAGAAGCTCTCCTAAGTCTAAATTTCGTTCTAGAAGAAATCTTACGTTGCTCATGACCCCAAATGACTCTGTCATCCCACTTTGTTTCCCCACAATACCTCCGCAAAGTCATCTCACATCCTCCACAGAAAGTCTATTGGCCCCCATTGACCTCCGTCATGGTTCATGGGAGACTCATCCGAACTCACAAAAGGAGAGGAAAGCTTTGACCGGAAGGGACAAACACCTAGACGAATGGGTATGGGATCTTACGGAGTCGTAAGGCGAAGTTGACAAGGGCACCAATGACAAGAAGTGACACAACTACTGGAGACCTGCGCTTGAAAGAACCAAAAGAAGACCATGTCCCAGCATCTCCAGATCGGGGAAACCCATCATCCTGTGGTTTGCGGGGCACAGCTGGCGATACTCTCGGCCATTAAACCTTGTCCCTCCCTCCGCACCCATGGAATGGTAACAGCGAGCAAAGTGCCGTCGTAATTACCATCTTCCCCACGGCATCATGCGCCAATTCGATGATCTCTGCCCAGCGGCCCTCGCTTGCCACGCTTTTTCTGCCTCTGGTATCCAGCTCCAAGAGAGACGCTGCATGCTGCATTACGACGCTGATGCTGCCGCTGCGAGCTTGTCGGACCGCTTAACCACTCGGATGGCGAGTCGATGCAACAAATCGAGACCGGCGGCTATCTCCAAGCGTTGAACCATGCACACGAGCCCCAGTCGCTGATAGTTTTGGGCTTAACACCAAGAGCTTTGCAATAGCTTACATGTAGCTGCGTCTGCGGCCTAGGCCGTTCTGTGACTCTCTTCTTCTCTTCATCAAGAAAAGCACACAATGAGTTTCAGCGAGCAATACCGCGGGCGAACCCCCTCGCCTCCGCAACTCCCGCATTTTCCCTCTGGCTACTTGAAGGCCAATCTGCCACTAAACCCACCAATGCTGGGGTCAGTAGCGTGACCTGATTCCAAAAGTTGCAAATTACCTTAGACCACCGGCATGGCCGCCCCGCGTTTACTCCAGTCTTTCCCCAATTTCTAGGATTGCCTACCTAAATTCTTTCGTTTCCCACGCAAGGTTTGACCGAACCCCCGTGGGGCCAAGACCAGTGGTTGGGTTTCTTTTCGGCCCGTAAAGACAGTCCAAGAAACTCTCTCTGTTAGTTGCTTCTTGATTTTTTTGCTCTATGTACGGAGTACTCTCGTAACCATCATCGTCATGATCCGTCTCCGCCGAGCCTCAGTAGAACCGCACGCCCAGGGATCATGACTCCTTACCCTTGGTCCGTCTGCGGAGCTGTTTCCTTGGCTCTGCCCTGGCTGACGTCGTATCCAGAGCTCCGAATGACAGCTTCCCCGGTCCAGTCGGATCGTCGTCCTGGCGTGCGCAGCGCACGCAGCCGATATATAAGATGAACGCCTTGAGGGCCTGCGTTCATGAGATTTTGGAGGTCAAGCGGCGCGTCTACCAATACTATCCATCGCAGCACAGCATGTCAGTCCTCAAGGGTGGTGCCGTCTTCACGGCCATCGCCTCCCTCGCCGCCGTCGCGGTCCCGGCTTCATCTGCCAGCGTCCCGACCATCACTCCCGAGTACCTCGCAACCGCTGGCAACAACTCCCTCTTCACCCGCTGGAGGCCTCGCTCTCACTACCTCGCGCCGCACAGCTGGCTCAACGACCCTTGCGGTGCCGTCTACGACCCGGCCACGGAGACATACCACTTGCACTACCAGTTCCACCCCAACCACGTCAACTGGGGAAACATCTCATGGGGCCATGCTGTCTCCAAGGATCTTTTCCACTGGACCGATGTCCGCGACTGGCAAAATGACTCTTCCGTGTCGCTCGCCTCTGGCAAGTACGCTTCCGGCCCTCTCTCGCAGTTCACCGGCACCACGCAGCCCGTCAACATTGAGGGCGCCAGCGATGGCACACTCCTGACTTTCGGCACCGGTATTCACTACCTGCCCACGAACTGGAAGCAGCCGTACATTACCGGCACGGAAGTGCAGGCCATGTACACCTCCTCCGATGGAGGTTCCACCTGGGACGAAGTCGGCACCGTTCTCTCTGGACCTCCCGAGGGCTGGAACGTCACCGGCTGGAGAGATCCCAGCTTCTTCCCCTCTACGGAGCTCGACAGCCTCCTCCAGGTCAGCGAGCCCCACTACTACATGGTTCTCGGCTCCGGCCTCAAGACCGGCGATGTCCCCGCCCAGCTCCCCGGCGCCGCCCGCCCCGGTTTCATCGGGCCTCGTATCCCGCTTTACTCTGCGCCCTCCTCCAACCTGACCCAGTGGACCTTCCTCGGCGCTCTTTGGGAGCCCGCCGCGAACTCGTCCCTCGGTGCCCCCGACATCACCGGATCCTACGGCTACAACTTTGAAGTCAGCAGCTTCTTCGACCTCCCCGTCGGCGACTCGGACGAGAAGGCCTGGTTCGTCACCATGGGCGCCGAGGGCGGCAACACAACCCAGCACTGGAAGGAGCAGTGGGCTTTGTGGAACCGCGGAGACGTCGCCCGCCGCGACAACGGCTCCGTCGAGTTCACGCCCATCGCCGGTGCCGCCCTGGACTGGGGTATTTCCTACGCCCAGGCCACCTGGAAGGACACCCGTAACGCCGACCGACGCGTCATGTGGGGATGGGCCAACGACGATATCCTCGGCGACTACGGCTACAACACTTCCAAGCAGATGGGCTACCAGGGTTCTATGAACCTCCCCGTGGAGCTCTACATCAAGGAGACCAAGGGCGTCCAGAACTGCGGCACCCAGCAGGACGGAAGCACCTGCATCGAGAGCTGCAACGGCCACACCGCGCAGACCCTCGGCATGCGCCCCCTCCCCGACGTCCTTGAGCTCCTCCGCGAGGGCGCGCAGACCAACGAGTTCGAGATCGGCCAGCTCACGGACACCAACAAGACTGCCTCCGCTGACCTCGGCACGTCCTACGAGCTGACTGCCACCCTCAGCGACTTCAGCGGCTCCGCGGGTATCATCCTCGCCCAGAGCCCCGACTCCGCCGAGTACACCACCATCAACTTCGACGTCGAGGCCTCAGAGATCAGCGTCATCCGCACCCACAGCAGTCTGCTGCCCAACTTCAACAACGCCACCTTTGTCGGCCACTTTGAGCCCTACCAGATCCACGAGAAGGGCGCCAACGCGACCGTCACGGAGGAGCTCAACTTCCACGTCGTGCTCGACAACTCTCTGCTCGAGATCTGGGTCAACGAGCGCTTCGCGCTGACGGCGCGCATCTACCCCTCGCGCAACGACAGCACGGGCTTGACCTTCTTCGCTGCCGAGGGCGGCAAGGCTACCTGGAAGGACGTCAAGGTCTGGACTGGCCTTGCGCAGGCGTGGCCTGAGAGGCCGGAGGATTCCAGCGTTCCCTTGGTCTGGGATACCGCTGAGCAGACGAACAACTACACTTGGTGGGCCGGATACTAGGTGGAATATTAGTCCATAGACCTAGAAGTGATGAACACTAGATGATGATTTTACGCATGATTACAGTACCTTATAGAGTAATACCTATTACCAAAAGTAAAAGTTTTGATATAACACTCACGATTCCTTGCCTCTCACTGCCTGCATTATGAGATCAGTGATATGTTCATGAATATTCTTCCGGTGATAGAGAGCCTTGTGCTCACCTGAACGCAGGATTTCGGTAGCTCAATGGTCATACAGCTGCTGTCTTTAGCTCACAACGCACAATTTGAGCCATCTCGGACGCGAAACTAATAACAGACGATTGTGACCGACATCAAAAACACGAAAATGAAAGGGACGAGACTCGAACTCGCGCGGGTTGCCCCACCAGGAAACAGATGTTAAGCTGACCTTAACCTGGCGCCATAACCAACTCGGCCACCCTTCCGATGGTGATCCTTGGATATCCTTGGATCGGTGTGGTTGAGGTCGGGGGCGCGGGCGAGGGAAGATAAAGCCCTAGAGTGGAGCATCGTGAGATTTTTCTCCAGGTGAAAACTTTCCGGAGCGGAGTCCGGCTTCGTGGGATGTGGGGATGACGCCGTTGCCACTAAGCTGGGACCCGATTCACGGAAGGACGGCAGTGGCTTTGGGGCTACGGGTATCGCGAGAAAACGAAACTGAAGATTTCATCGTAGTCCGTAGGCCCAGTCCAGCCTAGATCAGCCAGCATGAGCAGGTGCTTAGCTGAGCGCAAGATCTGGTCACACTGTAGATATTCGGGTCTGTGCTAGTCGACGTGGGACTTGACATTAGAATCGCTCATTAAATCCATCAGTCAAGTTAAGTGGAGCGAGAGTCACTCATCAGCAGAGAAGCTCCAAGTCCAAGTAAGAAGTAAGTGAGAGTTCAATGATCATGATGGGCCTCTTGCTCAATCAAAGCAATAAAGTCAAGGCAATTCCTTTGTCATCGCCATAATGCTCAAGCTTCAATGACCTCGGGTTCAGACCATGTTGAATGGTGTTCCTGAGCAGAGTAATCTATACTGAAGACGAAAGTGAGTAAAGAGCACGTTGGCTAAGCCAATGATCGCGACCCATCGAGTCAAGGATCGAATGGTCCGGATCGCCCTCCCTCCCTTCGCCTACACGAAAAATGTGGCTACACGAGCTCGGAGCTGTCAAAACGGCAGGCCAAGCAGAAGATGCCACCCAATCATCCGGTAAACAGGTGTCATTGCTTCCCGTCTTGCTGCACATCTAAGCACTCTAAGTCGGCTCATCCATGGATTTGTTCACCCATGTGGAGATCTTCCGTGTGCACTGGTGGCTAACGATCGCGATCATCGCCTTGGAGCACCCAATTTGGTGCTGCGCGGCCCGTGACGTCATGCATACCTACCCAAATACGGTAAGTACCTAGCTCGAGCAGATACGCGCTTGACGTCGGCGGCGGCTGCATTCCAGCTGTTTGCTCGTGCATGATTTCTCCCCAAATCATGATTTTCAGCTGTCTCAGCTTCGTAGCCCCATACGAGCCGATGAACCTCGAGACGACTTCAAAGATTGGAGGTCCCCCGCATCGCAGTCGAACGTCTATCCCATCGCTTCTTTCCGCCTACGAACAGGAACGACAGCAACCATGTTCAAGGGTAAACCTAGCGACATGGACGAGATGGATTCACACGCACCGCCTCCACCTCCGCCAACCGCAGCACCTCCGCCTCCGCCTGTAGCTTCAGAACCCGGTGTAGACACCCCGGCGAGCCAATCTAGCTATGGATACTCCAGCCAGTCGACAATGGGACAGGAGCCCGAGATAGTAGAAGCACATGAGGAGGAGAGACCAACAGACAGCCATCACCTGGCAGACATGGCTGCCAAGGAGAAGCCGATCGAGGAGAAGGGGCACGCCGAGCTTGACCACGATCATGTTGAAGTGAAGAACTTGGGATGGAACAACCCGCCCAGCAAGGTTGCGCAGCCCATGGTTGGCGGTCTGAGCAACGAGGATCTCTGGATATTGGTTCGACGATTTGACAAGGTAGAGCGAGCCGAACGAACTCTATGCTGAATTATGCCATCCGAAGGGATACTGATACTTTTCTAGCAAATCTTCCATGTCAAGTCGATTCCCGAGCCACCGGTGAGCTTGCCATTCCAACTTGCCGCGTATCAGCAGCTAAATATAGATGGGCAGCTTGCAAACCTGGACATGAACATCGCCGACGAGGAGGAGTTCTCGCCTGATAAACTCCGCGCCCATGTCGAGCGCTTGTACATGACTGTTGTTGTTGGCTTATTCTCTTTCTGGAAGCATATTGTCCGTCTTCGTTCATGGCGCGAATACAAGCGCACCTCACTTTTCCTCGCAGTCTACTCCATCGCCTGGATCTTCGATTACGTCGTCCCCGTCTTCGCCAGCTTCCTCATCGTACTCATCCTCGTCCCGCAATCGCGAGACTTTTGTTTCCCTCCCGCCCCCGCTTCCCTCATCGACAGCAAGACCGGCGGTGTCAAGAAACCCGCATCCGGCGTCCTCGCGTCCGATGACTCGATTACCGGCGCACCCGAGAAGCACGCAGGAGAGGCTGTGGAACAGGAGGCGTCGAGCTTCGTGAACAGCATCTCATCGCTGATCATCAGCACGGCGGCGGGAAAACATCCTCAAGGCGATCCCCACGACGACTCTTCTGTCCCCGACCCTACTAACATGACCCAAGATGTCGTCAATGCCAAGGATAAGACGGACGGCAAGGAACCCACTTCCCACCACGACAAGACCAAGAAGCCTGTTCACGAGTCCGTTTGGGTCAAGGCTAGGCCTGTGATGCATGGCATCGCCGACGTGAGTACTCTGACCCGTAAGCCACTTGTGAATGTAATTGACGACATAATGAACAGTTCGTCGATACCTGGGAGCGTTTCGGAAACGCCCTGAGCCCAACTCCACCATTCCCTCAGCAGAGACCCCGTCTTGTCCTTGCTAGCGTTATCTTACCACTGCTACTCGTCTCCTTGTTCACAACCTCGTACATGGTGGTCAAGGGCACCGGGTTTGTGGTTGGATTCACCATCTTTGGAGACCCCATCATCCAAAGAGGCCTGGTGTTTATCAACCGGTCAGTTTTTCTTTCAGCGTTGATTACTCGCGTGTCTAAAGTATGTCCAGCACCTACCCTCAATGGCAGAAGTATGTTGAATTGCGAAACACCATTCTCAAGGGCATTCCCACCAATGCCCAAGTCACCATCACGCTCCTACGTATCGGCGAGCGGAATAAAGCCCCGCTTCCACCTCCGCCAAAGTCCGATGTACCGCCACCTGATGAGCCTCATGCAACCGCTGGCCAGGACCTGGAGCATCTCGGTGAGTAACCCAGGATTTCAAAATATTGCTAAGCACTGGCTCATAACTCACCAGGCGTAGATCAAGCAGAAATAGACGAAGCCATTCAGCCCGACGAGGCAGCTTTGGCGCCAGCTGAATCGGAAACGGCAGAGCACAAGCAGAAGAAGGGCCATCGTATCATAAACTTCATCAAGAGCACCGCCAAGGGCGGCATCAACACCACTCTCGCCGCGGACAAGGTAAAGGCCAAGGTCGGCGCTAAACACGCAAAGGACAGGCTGGGCGTAGTCAAGAAGACGCCTGATCCCGAGAAGGGTCCCGTCCGCTTCCCCGCGCGCTGGAAGGGCAAGAGGGGTCATGCTTATATCACGACTACAGCCACGACTCCCGCGCTCAGTTGGACGACGGAGTCAGATGATCTGAGTCCGACGTGGACTGTTACAATTGGTGATATTGAGGTGAGAACTTTCGGCACTGTCTCTCCAAATACCACGACTGACGTGTACTCCGCTAGCAAATTCGCAAAGTTGGCGGACTTGGCTGGAAGTCCAAGATCTTTGTCGGCTGGGCTACCGATCGTGAGATTGCAGACGGCCTGATTGTGACGGATAGCATGGGCAAGGAGTACCATCTTACTGCCATCATTTCGAGAGACGAGCTCTTCAATCGTCTCGTGGCCTTGGGGTCGCAGATGTGGGAGGCCTGGTAATGAGGTTATGACATTTATGAGAAGGCAAAAGGACTGTAACATATACACGGCGTTCCAGAGAGATTGATCTTGCGGGTGGGATACAGCATACGAATTCCAAGAGCTGTACAGTAAACGGATAAGTCATAGCAATCATGAGTCATCACTACGAATCCATGGGAATTACGAGTCTATTCGTTGGCCTTCGGCAATTCTTTCCTGCAGCATACGAATCCCAAGAGCTGTACAGTAAACGGATAAATCATAGCAAGGTGATCAATACGAACTCTTAGGAATTACGAGTCTATTTCTTGGCCTTCGGCAATTCTTCACTGTCCGCCACCCAAATGCTTCGGTTTTTCTGTCCTGTCTTTGAGCTAAGAGGAACAGCAGGTGGCTCCAAATTCCTACACAAATGAACAACGTCTATGTAACAGTTTATCCAGGCCTCGTATCATGATTCAGGGTCTTGTCCGACCTGCCTCGCTCTGCAACATTTAGTTAATGAAATCTTGACATGACTGTATCGTGTAAACACCTCCCTCCATCCTCTGTCTACTTCTAATCCCTCGAGCTTCCCGCGTGCTCATCGCGGACACTGCCCACTTTGCCAAGTTTTCTCCCTCGCCTCTCAAGATAGGCAATTAACAAAATCACCGGCACAGTCAACGCGCCCGTCACCAGACTAGCAATGTAACCTTTCCGATAATTCGGTGCATCCGTCACGGGGTAAAAGATCAGGGGCCACCAAGTCTACATGTACGTTTCATCAGTCAGCGCCAGACAAATGTTAATGGAGAAGAAAGGGTAGTCCACTCACCACAAACGCAAAATCAAAAGAGTTCATGAACCCCGTCGTAATTGCCCTCAGCTGCAAATCGTGCGCCGTCAGGTCCGCCATCCACGAGTACCACAGCGCCTGCGGCGCATATGTCGTGCCCATGAGATAAAACGCGAAAAAGTGCCCTGCGTCCGGCGGGTCCGAGATCAAGATTGCGCTGCTGACGATGAACGTGAACCCGATGCAGAGCGAGGCCTGCCAGCGCGAGCGAAGCTTATCGGAGACGGCGCAGTAAATGAAGGTCGCGACGATGCCCGTGGCGTAGGTCGCGGTCGGGTAGTTGTTTTGCTGGATTACGGAGTAGCCCCGGGATGCCATCCAAAGGGGTATGACGTTGTTGCCTATTGCTTGGACGCTGAGGGAGTAGACTATGTTCGCACGTCAGTGACATTCCAAAGGCTAAACGGTTGTGAAGACTCACGCATGAAGACGGTTGGGAGGAGCCAGAACTGCCAGCTCAGCAGGACACGTTGGAATACGCTCTTATCCCATGCTTTTGTCTGTGTTCTTCCGAGGCGGGTGACGGCGAGGTCCCTCTCTTCTGGGGTCAAGAATCTTGCTGCGCGATGCTCTGGTAGGTCTGGGATAGCGAACCAGCCTTTCAACATGTCAGCTATCAGCCAAATCATGCCATGAGCACATGTAGGAACCCACCAAAGACGGCAAAGGGGATGGTGATGCACGAAACCACTATGAAAATAAGTCGCCAGGGCTCAATCGGGCCGCTAGAAAGAGACGCCAGAAGTCCCGCCTGGATCCAGCCTCCTGCCATGTTGCCGAGGTTGCCAAAGGCGCAGAAGACTGCTGCACGGGTGGCTAGCTCGGATTGCTTGTACCATGATCCGTAGATGAAGTGCGCGCCGACACTGAGCAGTGTTGTTAGAAAAGGAGGTAGCTCATTGAGGCGCATGGGGAAACTTACTATGCGATGGCTGAAAAGGCGCCCTCGAAGCCGTTGAGGACGAAAACTTGGTAGACGTGTGTTGCTCTAAATGTGACGAGGGTGAGGACGCTCCAGACTGTGTTCGCTGCGACGAAGACGTAGCGGGGTTTTACGATGGTCAAGAGTGAGGTTGAGGGAATCTGAAATACGGCGTAGGTGACTAGGTAGATGGTGTGCATGTAGTTGAAGTCCTAGAGTTGAGTCAGTAATCCTATATCGCATGCAGGCTTTTGGACGTTCCTCTTATTGAAGTGTCGGGCGTGGCTCACCTTTCCTTGGAAATTCAGGTCCTCCTTCATGCCGCTGATATACGCTGTATTGTAGCTCGCGCGATTGACGCCGAACAGGAACCACACGACGGAAAAGTAAATGAGCACGGTGAAATCGAGCTTGATAAGCAGCGACCGCTCAACCGACGGCGGGCCCCAGAGGGCTTCCTTGATCTTTGACACCATCTCAGACACGGGCTGCTCACGTTTTCGATGTGAGAGTGTCGAGCCGGGAAGCAGCGGCGCCGCCTCCCCAGAGGTTGCACCCGGCATTTTGTCTGTTATTCGAAGCGAGCCTGCGCGCCAGCCCGCGTACTACCATCCAAGGGTTCCACTGGGGTTCAACGATGTCGTCTTGAAGGGTTGCACATTTCGCCATCCCCAAATATCCCATGGGGAGATAAAGAAGGGAAGGTCGTTGGGCTTAACCGAGGTTCGGCCGATGTCTCTAACCGCAACCATGAAGGGTTGATCCTGTCATCCAGAGTTACACCCGTTCGGTACTAAGGCTTACAAAGGTTCTCTGGATCAGATGCTGAACCCCGCCTAACCCCACTACCCGCGGATTGCGCGATCTTGTCCGTTTTGATGGACATCTGAATGGGATTAGAGATAAGACCGTCAGCTTCAACAACCCCCGACTTCTTCATGCAATTGATGCCGAAATAAGGTAGTTCCTGGAAGATCTTCAAATGGTCGCTATTTGTTCATAAATATTGTCGGTACTTTATTGAGACTTAATATCGGCATATCTGCTTCTCGGTGATAACAAATTTTTTATTTAGAAGGTGTTATACTCTCCTGGTTTCCTTGCCATGCGCCCCCATTATTCCACGATCAAGCACATAATGCTCACACCCAACCGAATGGTCAGAAAGGCAATAGCCGATCAAGGCTAATCTGACATGTGTCAAAGCTTAGGTCTAGTCAAACAAAAAAGACTTCAAACGTTGTCTTGCCTCTGTATCTTCCCAGTCCACCAATATCCGTTCCTTTGACTCCTCCATCTTGATTTCCACCATGGTGTCCATGGCAGCATGCTCTTCTGGGCTGAGAAGGTGGATTCTAGTCTTCCAAAGCTCGCTTTTGGGCACGCCGCTGTTTGGATCACGTTTACCAAAGAACTTTTCATCTAGATATTTCCAGTAAATCGCATCGAATGCCCAACTCTTCCTCGCGGCATAATTAAGCCAGAAACGCCCCGTGGCCCAGCTATCTCGCATATACGCTGAGAGAAGAAAGGGCGTTCCTGACTTCTTCATTTCTTTCTCCGCCTCTTGCAAGGCTGACAACCATGTTGGGAGGCGGTTCTCGTAGTTTTGCTCCCAGTCTTCAATCCCACTATCCCAGGAATCGGGCGTATCAAGAAGTAGCCACCAGGGTGGATCTAGCACGAGCTGCGTCGGCCCGGCAAACGTGAATTCCCAGTCAAAGACCGCAGCGATGTCATCATCCTCGGTAACAAGAACATTCGCCGGCCTGAAGTCATCGCACCACAAGCGAAACGAGCCAGAGTTGCTAGGCATTGGCAATGTTGCAGGACTGTGTTTAGCGTGGGCGGACCAGTCATCTTCAGCAAAGCCATAACTCGACAGTCGGCCTTGTTTGGCCAACCTGCGAAAAAGCTGGCGCGCGACGTACTTAGTCCTGCAATCATCCCGTGACGATATCATGTCGTTGTGCTGAAATAGGAGTGTTGCCATTTGCTGCTCAGCTAAGACCACGTACCACTCATCGGCGGTTCTATACGTAGTACCTTTAGGCGGAAAGATGGATTTGGGTACGTTGGACAGTTGGACCATGTTGATCATGTTCAGAGTGATGGGCCGTCCGGTTATACACTCAGATCCTGACCCGGGGCTTGTCTCGGCAAGAGCTCCAATGCACGGGAAGCTAGGCTGCGCAAGCTGCAGCACACATTCTGCCATCTTGCGATAAAGACTCTTGAGCTTGCCTTCAGGCATATCCGGATCGAGCATGGCTGGGTTGGAATGCGGCGTAGAGAGAGATCTACTCATGGTCTCAAGTTCTTTGGACCCGAGATCTTCCATCATCAGGAACGGACCAATGCCTGGTCTAGGATCAACACCATAATGATACACCTTCGGGATTGGGAGCTGAGTGTGTTGGGCAAGATATCTCGCCGTCGCGACCTCCATGGCTAGATTCTCTTCATGGAAAATGCCTTGACTCGGGAATGGTACACGGACCAAGATCTTAGCGGAAGGACTTCTGCCGTCCGGTCGAAAGGGATAGAGCATGTGGAAGCCGCCCGTCACCAATGGTGGTGCGCGCTCGAGAGACGTGCCCAACGCGGTTTCTGCAACAGCTTTGACTTTTTCAAATTGTGAAGTTTTGCGAAGCCTGGCCGTATCTTGTTCGTAGAGTTCTTCAGACTGATCCCATTTGAGATTGTCAGAGTGTATCCGAGCTGCCATTGCGCTGATAAAGGAGGAGAGAGAAGAAGACATGCAAACGTGGAGGAGCTGGAACCACCAACCAACGTCGTGTTCTTTAAGGCCGTGAGTGCCTGAGGCTGCAAAGGTCGTTGGGCAGCCGAAGGTCGTGAAAGTTAGTGTGGGGGTTGGTGAGTGTCTTGGCCATATCAGGCTTAGGTGTTGCAGTTGACGTCCAACGGTAAACCTCTTGACGAAACCTGTAAGGTCCAAACAAAGACATCAGTTCACCCAGCTTTTGGTGAATTCTGCAGAATCAAAGCAATATGGGCGGTGGAATGGTGACAGCACGTCGGACTCACCGGTTCAGTCCACAAATTCGATATAGTTGGGGGCATGTATTGAACAACGTACATGTCCTTCAAGAAAGCAGCCTCACTGTGCTTGCTGACATAAGTAGCAGATCAAGAGAGGTATCCGGACTTGACCAACTGCAAATGAACATCTCAAAGCCAGAAGTCCAAGTGTGTGGATGAGTATGACGGGCCGGGCGCTGCAAGAAGATGAAACTAGAGAGATTGCAGTTGGGAGTCTTCTCCACGGGACATATATTCAAAGATATAAATGACAAAGGCAGCAGTGAACACCGGATGGTATAATGCTGAAAGCTTCAGGATACTTACTCTTGCCAACACCTAATGTCAAAGAACAAAGATTCAAGCATCAAGACCTGAGACTAGTCATGAGCGGTCACACATCACTGAAGAAGAAAGAATTGGTTCTAACTTTGCTTTGAACAAAATTGAAGGCAAGGATTAAGATATCCAGCACGAAGGTGAACATCGGCCCGACGGACTTCTGCAGACGTGAGTGCTTACGAGCTATCCTACGTGATGAGTCGATGTGGGAGGCGGCGCTATGTTTCCGAACAGCTCGAGGGCAACGATGCTTGGTGAAAGATGGCAGGTATATGGCCAGAATCAACAAAGCTCCGGGGTAAGATAGTAAGTTAGGCTACCTAGCATATACTATATAAGAGGCAGCTCAGCTCCTCACGTATGAAGGACACGTACCCAGAAGTAGTTCCGTACTTCAATCTCTACTCTCGATCACAATTTACCACTTCTTATCACGATTAATAGTCGCCTCAACGATCGCAGCCTGTTAGCCATACTTATTTCTTGTAAGTTGTATGCATGATACGAAACATAGTACGCTATCATGATCTAATGAGAAGTAGTGACGATGTGTACAACCACCATCTACCTCTATCAGTGTGACCATAAAAATAGAACAGAAAAGGTTGACTGCGCTTATAAAGGCACGCCACAATGTGTCAAAGTGCGTCACACAGTGCGTTTGTCTACAGCAAACTGCGGAAGACTCGAATGCAACACCCCTCCGTCATCCGATGGTCACAAAAAGTAGACATCATCCCCAAGAGTTGCAGGAGGAGCGAAGTATGAACTATCGGAATGCGAGCTGGGGACGTACCCAGATTCTAGAGTGTCTCATTGAAATAATGAGGCAAAGGCGTGGGTTACTTGATCACAATCATGTTTGACATCCACGCACCATAGTTGCCGGAAGTTAAGGCAGTCAATGCCAAGTCACAATAAGTGACTCTTAGTTAGTTCGTGATGACCTGTAGTCAATAAAAATAGGGTCTAGTCTACATATGCCTCACTATGCACAGAGTTGGAGTGACGGCCTGATGACAAGTCGTGTGCGAAACTTAAAAGTTTGTGCAGGGTATACATCTTGAAATCCAAGTGGGTGTAACTTAACTTTCTCTGTTGACCGTCTTGTAGGTGACTGTAGGAGCATAATCAATTATGTGAATCTAGGGTTCTTCGTAAGTTCGTCATTGTATCGGGGTTTTGGAGGCAAGCAAGAACTTTGTGGAACTCTTGAGGAAGCCTGCATATAAGGGGAATCTAAGTCTGTTCGTTTACAACACCTGACTGGTTTCTTTCTTTGATGCCTCGCTAATGCAGAAACGCAAATAATGGCACACGTCTGTATTAGCCGCATTGCGGCATTCATCTTTGATGAGAGAATTGTAGAACTAAAAGGCGCAGAAATTAAACCATATTGATTAATGCACTGGTCAAAAGCATGTAGCCTTATGACAAGCCATCCAGCCAGGAGCAGGGTGCATCCAAACGATGCTTCTTCGACTATACCTGGCCCTAGTTAGTTTCTATCAAAGAGTGTTGTTCGCCCTCCATCCTCCCGCGCAAGTTTCATGTGCAGAAATTTCAGGCAGCAGCAATAACCAACAAAGGATCACGACTGTTGGAGAGGCGAAGCCAACGTCGGTAAAGTAGATAAACCTGGGTAGTACTTGGGGGATGAGAAACACATCGCATACGTGTTCAGAACCAACCTATCCAATCATAAATCATGACTGGTATGCATGCGGAACCATACATGCCTTGTCGCGAATTCTCTGGATCAAAAATAATTAGGCAGATGCCCAAGGCAGCCGCATCAAAGAATTATAAATACAGCTCACTACCCCTCAACCCAATTGAGTTGTAGTGTGTTTCCCCAACCGCACTTCCAAATTCCAGATAATCAATCAATCCTGACGTCTCGTAATGGCTCTTGACCTCTTCATTCCATCCTGTGTGAGATCTCCTGCTGGGCATCTCCATCTACCGGATATTGAGCGGCCGCTCAGAATCAGGATCGAAGGTCCACGAGAATCGATAGAAAAGCTATTCCCGTCTGTTTCATGGGATACTCGCGTATTTGATGGGAAGTTTCCTCAGGAAGCTGGTCCACTACTCGCAACGCTGACGTTTCGGCACATTTATGGGGAGAGCGTCCGTTCTGATGTCCCTGGCGATTTGGTCGTACGGGACGAATACATTGGATGGATTGGAGAGGGTCATAGAATAGTAGAGTAAGGTTTGATCCATTGCCGGCTGAAATGATTACAGCTAACGACAGGTGTCTTTTTAAATAGCGACTTAGACTACTATGGTGTTACGTTCGATCATCTTGTTCCCGTGGATGACGCCGATCCAGAGGTATTACAACTCAACATCATCGAGGTGGAGTCTGATCAGGGCAAGACTGCCAACGAATACGTGAGATTTCCGGTCGATGCACTGGAATACACAGGAAAGAAGGTATTGGCCGTTCCCAGATGTTGTCAGAAACGAAAGGGCACTACAGATCGCGCAAGGGTCAATAATGAGGTTTTGTACAGGGATGGGCATCCCAACCCGTGGATGCAAAGCAAGTAAAGCAGTGGTGGGCCAGTGTCGTAACCGTCAACAATTGCATGCTTGAAGGGCTGCGTAGTTTCTCTCACATATGGCATACGCCTTTCCTCAGCAGTCATAACAGTGTGAAAACCTCCGAGGTACTGAATCACCTCCAGTTCATATCTATATAAAGTCTCAGTACTAGCAAGGCCGACTCAACCTTATCTCAGTGCTCGCAGAAACTCCACTCCACATCTCTCAACTCGTCATTAACAGCCTTTGACAAAACTGTTATTTCCTTCATGAGCTCTTCGCGCATCTTCTTTGCTTCGTCCGTTTCAATCAGAGCGCTCATGGTCTCAACTATGTCGTTCGCTCCATGAACCTGGTCTTTACCCTCGAACCAATGCTTTTGCTGAGGAGGCACATTCGCCGTCGAGATTACGGGAACAGCAGGATCGACCAAGAACAGAGCCACAATCTTCCTGTACCCAGGCTTCGTCGGATCCTCCAACCTGAAAGGCCGCACCTTATGCTGGCTCAAGTTGGAGAAGAAGAGTGCCCTCCCAGGCCGCGTCAGCACGCTGCCCACCTCCTGGAGGGTATCAGAGCTACTACGGATAGCAAAGACCTTTTCAATGGACTTGTGATCGTACTGCTGGTAGTTGAGACGCTGATCCAGCTTCTCCCTGTTCCCTGGAGCGCGGAAAGCGAGCTGGGACTCGGTGATGTTGGCGCTATCGTAGTAGAAGAGTGCTGTGGCGCAGATGTGCTCGTTGAGTTGACCTTCGATGTGCCATGAGCCGCCGTCGTAGGTTGGCTTCTCGGGCGTAAGGTGAATGTTGGCGAGCTTGACGATGACTTGAATGCGTGGCGCGTTGTTGAAGAATCCGGCTTGTTTGATTTTATTGGGCGACAGCCTGAAGTACGAAGAGGGCTCTCGGACTTGCTCGTCTTCGCTGTCGCTGTCATCGTCGTCATCATAGTCGTCATCATAGTCGTCATCGTAATCTTCCTCATCGTCGCTTTCATCATAGTCTTCATCGTCGTGCTCATCATCCTCAGAGGCCGCATCGTCGCTCTTCAGTCGCTTGCTTTCGTGGGCGTCTCCGCGTTGTCTGCCCATCTTCTCTCCAGTAGCAGCTGTGGGCTGGACCAAGTCGTCAATCTCCAGGTGATGGCCATCTGGCTTATCCATGGGAACATCATTTTCGTTCCCGTCTAACTGGTTTCCCTGCTCTGGGACAGCATCGGGTATCGCAACACGCTTTCCAACCTTTCGAGCCCTGAGACGCTGTACTGGGAACTTTCTCACCCAGCGATAGATGATATCCCAAGCTGGCAAAGACTTCTGTATCAGCTCTTCGATTAAGGGGTACAGATCGGAATGTTCCCTTGGGTGCAAGTTATTGACATAACTCTCGATGGTAGGTCGGCCGTCTTCGTTAATGGCGACGTCAGATGGTAGCCACTGAAAATTCGTGGACACCAGCTCAACAGGTGCGCCTTGCCAGTCGAAAGTTCTACCTTCACCAACATCAGACTCGTCGGGTTTCGGTATGAGGAATCCAGGCCCGCCAATTTCGAGACAGTCATCTAATGTGATGCGTTGATGCATGATACGTGAGCGGCCGTACAGGAGTGGGAAGAGTGACGGGTGTACTAGATCGAGGACTTTACCGTCACTTCCCGGATGCCAATCCTTTTCGACGTCGGGAACATCTTCGAGAGATTTGACGGCGACTTTGAGACGATCAACCAGGGAGCTGGGTAGCAGCTTGTCTGACTTGATGACACAAGTAGAGTAATCCAGGACAGGAATGAGGCCCGTTTCCTCGTACAACGTTGACTTCTTTCGAAGTTCTTGCATGCACTTGTAATCTCAATGTCAGCTCAATCAATGCAATTGCTTCCTCGTGGCAATGTGAAGGTTATGTGAGTTGAACTGAAACTTACCGCTTCAGCCATGTTCTTCGTGAAGTCTCCGTGGCTTCTGTATGCCGCCCAGTCCAAAGCCTGCACTTCCTCCTTCCACTTGGCGGAAATCACCGGATCTCGAACTTTGCGCCACCACTCAGGCTTGTTCGTAATGTCTTCCATGAACTTAAGCATGCAGACTTCTCGAATTAGCAGAGTGCTAGCTTTCCAACTCTTGTTGGTGTCCTCCATGAGCACAGGGAATCTGTCGCGCTTGTCTGGCAGGTAAGTCAACATACCCACTTCCTGGCACCCCCCTGTTTCTGGCACCACAAAAACGATGGGATCACAACCCAACCTCCTCATTACTATTAACTATTGATCCTCAACCACACCCACTACAATACAGCTGCCAGCCTCACTAGGGCATTCAGAGTCGCTGGATTCAGCCGTGATAACCTCCTTTTCACCCGCTTCGATTTGAGCCCGATGGATATCCCTGATGTTCGCGAACTTCGTATTGGGATCG